GTGTGTGTGTGTGTGTGTGTGAGAGTGTGTGTGAGATCATACATATTTTTAAGATGAAGTGACCCCCTATGTTTCTGCATGGTATGTGAATTTCATGCACACTAGCGCAGTTGAGCCTCAGCGAAGTGAAAAAGGGGTTAGCCAGGGACAGCTGGCCTTTGCAGGTCAGGACAGAGACTGGCAGAGACAACTGCATGACAGGTGCAGCAGGGAGGGGGTGGGCACACAGGACTGAAGGTAAAATAAGCTAGTTGTGTTCAGAGACAACAAGCAGGCTGGCTTGGCAGTGAGAAACAGTGTGCTCAGTGAAATGGCGTCAGAGCCAGAACGGAGTTTGAACCCTCTTTTCCTCCGGCACTGGCGAGCTGTGTCATTTTGGGTTAAGTGTTTCAGACTTCCTGAGCCTCCGTTTCCTTATCTGTAAAGTGAAGACAAAATCTATCTCCTGAGACTGTGGAGAGTCTGAAGTGCATAGTGCATGCTTAATCACTATCCCTGACTCTGCTCCTTATTCTTGGTTGGTAAAGAGGAATGTGCCAGGGTGGTTTCCTCCGGCACTGGCGAGCTGTGTCATTTTGGGTGTTTCAGACTTCCTGAGCCTCCGTTTCCTTATCTGTAAAGTAAAGACAAAATCTATCTCCTGAGACTGTGGAGAGTATGAAGTGCATAGTGCATGCTTAATAACTATCCCTGACTCTTCTTATTCTTGGTTGGTAAAGAGGAATGTGCCAGGGTGGAAAAGCACATGCGAGGTGCTGCATGTGGGCGTCCTCCTCATTATCTTCTTACTCTACAAAAACACTCTAGGAAAGGCCTTATGTATCCTCATTTCAGAGAGGAGGTGAAAGAGATTCGGGAAGGTCATGTAGCTTGCTCAAGGTCACTGAGCTGGTCTTTAGCAGAGGAGGAAGAACTGAAACAAGGGCCATGAATGTTCCACTATACATAGCAGCTTTCTAGGCGACTGAAAAGGTATCAGTGGAAGGAAGCCGCACAAGACAGGTTGCGAGCTGGCAACCAGCAGCCGGTGCCTAGATCAGTGTCCTGATTTGCCTGATGTATTTTATGGAATTCTTCCAGGTAAAGCTGATGCCTTGCCATTTTCACAGACCTACTCTCCATTCTGGTTACTCACCTGAGAAATGAATGAAGCTAAAAAAAAATTCACATTCTTGCCACCCTTTCATCACCTGTAAGATAGAAAGTTTGGACTACATGCTCTCTGTAGTCATTCCTAGCTCTAAAATGCACGTGGGAGAAATTACAAGGCTTGGAACAAGGACACATCACCATCCTCAGAGCCAGCTCCCAACTGTGAAGCCTCTCACAGTAGAAATCCTCTCACTCACCAAGATGTTTAACCAGAGAATCCTAAAATAGTATATAAATGCTCTATTCTTTATTTTAATTCAAAAATGTAAATGTGCCTTCACTCCATTTCATTGACATATGCCTTTCTTCAAGACCAGGTCATGTGGAGAGAGAGCAGCAATGAATTATGCAGACAATTAACTATCTCCAAAATGCATCATCTCCATTTCCAGTGTGAAGTTCCTTAAAATGGAAAAAAAAAAACTTAAAATGGTTGCAAATAAATCCGAATGCAGAGTCTCTCTGGGTTTTTTTGTTTTCCCCCAATCTTTTGCTGTTGTTTCTCTCACACTTAATTTGACAGAAAACTTTTAGTGACTCACCTCTATGGAGTCTTTTTAAAGTATTCAATATAGTTTCCCTAGAAACAAGAATGCTATTTCTTTTCACATTCACATTTCAGCAGTTTAACTAAACTGTAAGTCAGATTTTGTCATTCTAGACAAGCTCCTCTGATGACTCACTCACCCACTTACTGAAATGACATGTACTCTGCCCACCTCTCTAACTTCATCTCCTGCCATCCTCCCTCTTGGTCATGTGCTCCAGTCACTCTGACCTTTACACACTTCTTCAAATGGACAAGCATACTGCATATTTGCTGTTCTCCCATTCTCTGTAATTCTCTTCCCTTGGATAGCTAGGGAGCTGGGTAGGTCTTTGTTCAAATGTCACCTTCTTAGCGAGGACTTTCCTATCACCCTATTTCAAGTAGCCATCCTTGCCCCGATTCAGCCTTTTCTACCCTATATTGTTTTTCTCCATAGCACTTGTCTGGCATAGTATATATATTTTACTCATTAGAATTTGAGCTTCATGAGGGCAAGGATTTCGTTTGTTTGTTCACTGACGCATTCTTAATGCCTAGAATAGCAGGTACAGTTGTTACTCAATAAATGTTTGTTTAATAATAAACTTCAATACACTAACAAAAATGAGAATAATTTACAGGGAGTCAACAGTAGAGTAGATAAAGCCAAGAATCAAATCAGTGAGTTAGAATATAAGGAAGCAAAAAATGTCCAATCAGAACAGAAAAAAAAAGTGAGGATAGTGTAAGGAGCGTCTAGAACAACTTTAAGAGTACCAACATTTGCATCATGGGGGTGCCGGAAGAAGAGAAAGCAAGAAATTGAAAGCCCATCTGAAAAAATAATGACAAAAACTTCCCTAATTTGGTGACAAGTCCAGGAAGCACAGAGAGTCCCAAGTAAGATAAGTCCAAAGAGATCTACACCAAGGCACATCATAATTAAAATGCCAAAGGTTAAAGACAAAGAGAGGATCTTAAAAGCAGCAAGAGAAAAGCAGTTAGTTACCAATAAGGGAGTTCCCATAAGACTGCCAGCTGATTTCTCAACAGAAACTTTGCAAGCCAGAAGGGATTGGCAAGAAATATTCAAAGTGATGAAAAGCAAGGACCTGTAACCAAGATTACTCTACCCAGCAAAGCTATCATTTAGAATCGAAGAACAGATAAAGAGCTTCCCAGACAAGAAAAAGCTAAAGGCATTCACCACCACACCAGTATTATATGAAATGCTAAAGGGTATTCTTTAAGAAGAAGAAAAAGATAAAAAATATGAACAATAAAATGGCAATACATATCTAGCAACAATTGAATCTAAAAAAACAAAATAAACCAACAAGCAGAACAGAAACAGACTCATAGATACAGAGAACATTTTGAAAGTTGTCAGATGGAAGTGGGATTGAGAGAATGGGTGAAAAATGTGAAGGGATTAAGAAGTACAAATGGGTTGTTACAGAACAGTCATGGGGATGCGAAGTACAGCATCTATGTAATATCTAATCACTGGAGTTTACACCTGAAATTAATCTAATATGGTATATCAACTATAATTTAAAAATTAAAAATGATTAAAAAATAACTTTTGTGATTGCAGTAAGTGTATTGCCTTTCTGACTGAATTGCATAACTACAATAATAAGTACATCCGGCTTGAGGAGGTTTAGGAACAAACATAGCAGAGTCTTGGTAAACCAAGAAGCCAAGTGGAAGGGTCAAGCTTGTGCTGATGCACTAGAGCACAGACTACTAGACCTGGGCAGCCATGAACCTTGGGATCAGCCAGGGCATAAAACAGAGGGGAGCAAGATCATCTGTTAAATACAAATGGACTAGACAGCCTCTACTTTAACTTGATCAAATTGACCTCTCCAAGTACTTGATGCTTTCATATTCAAATGCACAGTAACACACAACAACGTCAAATATACAAGACAGTCTAGCCACTTTTCTTCAGATAAAAGCAGAACGACAGAAAAAAGATGGGTTGTTTTTAATAGTCAATTACCTTTAGCAAATTTCTTAATCTTTCATCCTTGGTTCTTTATTAAAAAGGGGGAAAGTGTAAACTAATGCATGGCTTGCATTGGTCTATTGTAAGTATCAGGTGGATCAATAGCTATGAAAATATATTGAAAAATTATGACACACTCTATACAATAAGCAATTTTCTTTGTATTAACATGGATAACTGACTTGTCTATAATAGCTACTATAGCTCCCCAAAACTGATGATGTACTTTAAAGCACATTGATTTTAAAATGAGTCCTAAAATGTATTAAAGAACAAACAGAAGGAAAAGTAGGTTTTTAAGGGTATGAAATGAGAAAGACAGGAAAATGGCTTTCTCCTGATTCTTTAATACAGAAATATAAGGAAGAAAAAAAATCCCATAAATCTCCAGTTACTATATTACATAAAGTTCAGATTCAAGAATATTACTGTAAACACCCATAATTATCTAGACTCCTAGATATTTCAGAAATTTCTCATCTATTTCAACACCACAAGGATAATCCAAGATGACTTATTAATATCACACATGTCAACAGCAAGTTGTGATGGAAATGAGCAAACCCGTTCCAACCATTTCAGTTCTGTTTTTATTACAGCATTTATTAAACCAGAATAAAAAAGTGGTGAAGAATGACTTGTCACACCATTTATTAGAGTTGATGGAGCATAGACAGTTTTTTCAATAAGACTTTAACACACTGTTATGCACCATAGTACATTATTAATGAAAAGAAATGCATGAGACTTGCCTCAGCTTTTCCCCCAAGTCATCCTGACTTTAAATTCAAAATCAATTCTACTCTACATGGCAAAGTTTCAGCAATAAAATGTTAATTTGTTGTTTGTTGTTTACCAAATCTTACATTTATAATTCAAAGCAACAGTCAAGGATCCTCCACATTGCACTCAATTTAATAATCATACCTTTTTTTGGAGGGGGTTCAAGAGAAGAGGCAAATGCAACAGGAAGATAAACAAATTGTGCCCTGGTGCATATCTGACAAGAGAACGGGATCTAATTTTCTCTCTGATTGAAAAAACACAAACGACAGCCACGGAATGCAAATTGTGCAGCGTGTTTGTACTTCGCCTCCAATACCCGAGTATCCGAATGGAACTAACTCACTCTGAAAAAGGTATTAGGTAATTGAGTATGATTGTGCCAGGATGAGGGATAATCCTCAAACTGAGAAGGAAAATAAACATATTTCAGATTGACAGGGTCACCTCACTCACTCAATAACCTCAGTCAAGCATTTTACATTCAAAAGAAATAAACCAAAAATATTAAGAATGACCTACCGCCAACAAGGAACCCTGATAGACACAAGCACCTGTGGAGAAAAACAAAATAAGAATTAAAAGGGATGCACAGCAAGCCAACTGGCACTGCCCCGGCAGACTTACGGGAATATTGCGTCTATATGTATCATAATCAGCAAAGTGCACTTCCCAAAATCTTAAAAACTTGAACATCCTGCCCCTGGGGGAATAACCTCATACACCAAAATAAGATTTCTTGTATATACATGAGAAAAAGCATCATTAATATTTAGTATCTGAGTTTTAAAATAAATGCATTTATAATGACATGCTATAATTACAGTGTCTATTGTCATTTGTGATAAATCAGCAAAGCCTCCATAATCCAGTCCCAATTGACTTATCCAGGCTTCTCTGCCACTCTTTGCTAACACAAGTTCTCCAGTCCAACTCAAGAGGCCAACTTAGGACCCTGTGATAAAGCTTTCATATTTCAACGCCTTTACTCATCTGTGTTATCTGCAGGAGATGCATTTGGTCTACTCAAGCTCAATGAACGTGATCCCATCTCCTTCATGAAGCTTTCCAGGCCATAGGATTATGCCCTTTCTCGTTTGAGCTCATAGCACTTTGTGCCTACATCAACGGTTTGTAAATTCATTCTTGTGTACTTCCTTGTGACAGCCTTGCTAAGGGTGTGGAAGTGTTGTATCTCCCCCCACAGATTTGCTTCTGTTAGAAAAGAAGACTGAATTTTATTGGGACAGCCTATTTATTCTGAATAACTAGTGTATCATAAAATAAATCTTTTCTAAATTTTATATTTGAAAGCAATGTGAAATTACAACATTAATTAACAAAAACATACACACATTCCCAACCAATTTTTGATCAGCACAATAGGTGTTGATTTAACCTAGAAACATGTGGGTAGTATGCTAACAGCTACTCTCTCAGAAACTGAGGCTGCAAAGAGATTGCACTAGCAGAAGCACAGCTTGACACCATGCCACACTTGGTGTCCAAAGAGAAAAGGAAACATTTTAATTTTACCACAGTGTTTGGCCTCCAACAGATCATTCAAAAATATTAACCAGGAAAAGATTGGCCTATCTTACCCACTAATAATAGAATTAAGAACAAGCTTCAAAAAAAAAATGAGATGGCTATTTACACTTAGCGTTTGAATCAAAGATCTCTATGGAAAAGAAAAAAACAAAAAAACAACAAAAAGATCTCTGTGGGTGAATTTACTGAAATAACTTTTGTGCCCTTGACATTCAAATAAGAATAACTCGAGATAAAAAAAACCTTGAGTCCAACTTACTTATTTTTCTTTAAGAAACCCTGTTCCTAAGACTTAGTATTTCAGTCTATGGTATGTCATTAAAAAGGATATATATTCATGTGTGACATATATATACACACAGAGTGGGGCAAAAGTAGGTTTGCAGTTGTTCGTATGAAAAATAATACAATAATCAATAAGTAATAATACAAGAATAAACTCTGTTTTGCATACTCACAACTGTAAATCTACTTTTGCCCCACCCGATATATAAAATAATCATATATAGCTCAAATAAATATATATCAAGACAATTCCATTTCCAAATTAAATGGATATATTTAATTACTTCTGATGTTTAAAAATAAACATAAAGATCCTCACTTAGGCACAATTTAACAAAATTTAACCCTTAGAATAAACAACAACATTTAACCATTAGAATGAGACTATCCTCAAATAATTTCATTGCCCTCCTCCATAGCATTACTTTACAAAAGCCAGTATCTTTTCAAAGCTCCAAAAGAAATCAAGTATCTGAAGAAGTATCCAAGTACCCACATCAAAGTCCACTTCTGGAAGTTTTAGGTGGCTGCTATAAACTCACCATAACTTAAAAAAATAAAGCAGCATTGAGTGTGTGCCACCACATACACATTTGGTTAAGCCAAACACCTGCTAGAGACTCAAGTCAAAAATGGTGTGTATGTGCTGGTAAATTCCAACACCAGGAAAAGGAAATAATTCAGTGTGGGTCGCTCCATGATGTCCAATTCCAAAAAAATAAGCTTTGCCCTCTGAGGGCTTTCCTAAACCAGAACAGCTTTACCCGGAAGGCAGCTGCACAAATGAGTCTCCATTAACACAGCTTCCAAAACCTCATTTCTACTCTCTAGAGAAAATAAAGCATTCCAGTGATGCCCAGTCCTATCAAACATTTATCACCACCCATGGCCAGATGCAGTCCTCCAAGCAAGCATATTTCTCCCACACTAGCACATGCTTCACACCCAGCGGCAGATGAAGTTGGGAGGCTTGCTGGCGTTGGCTGCTGGGGGCAGCTTCGGGTTCTGACCTAGCGCACAGGCCTTTTCCATCATCGATCAACTCGTATAATATGGAAAACAAAATTACTCCACTCATCACTTTCTTTCTTAAGGAGTACTGGAAAGACTGCAGCTCTATCTGAGGTTTACAGTTATGACTTTATTTGAACTTTAAAGGAAACTCCTCAAGGTGACTTCTGACAGATGGTGTTCTAGAAGGAGAAACAGACCTTCTTCAAGGGAAAACAAGAGAAATCAGACAGCAGGAGCTGGAGTTCTCTGACCAAGAACTTCGCCAGTTTCGGGGCATCGAGTACAGCTGAGACGCTAGCTGATTTAACTTCTAACACCCTGTGAGAAAGTGCATCAGGTTTTGCTGGGTGAAGTGATCATATGCACCAAGAAGGCAGCTGAGCTCCTGAGGCCTTCCTGCCAGGTGGTTGGCTCCTTTCTTGCAAGTTACATAGGCAAAAGGTTACTTCATATCATTTAAATAAGGAAATGTCTGCCCTTTTGCACATTATAATGTGCTCCTCTATAGAATCTAAAGTGTACAGATAAAATCTGAGGTATAATTTGCACCAGTATTATTCACTATAGAAACTGAACTTGGTAAACTAAGTAAATTAGAGAAGTCAAATACAAACAAACGTCGGACCCATTAGTTCAAAGATCAGATATGACCATAAGATATGAAGAGATTTGGAGAGCATGGTATCACAAAAAATATGACTCCTTAGAATCAAGCAGCCACAAGTTGCCATTTAAATGTTCGAGCTTTATGTTGTGTTACAATTCCACAGATGGAAGAGTTAAAGCAGATCCATTTTCTGGACTGACAGGACTATCCACATCCTGTTTCTTGTCCATCAGGATTCAGATCAATTAATAAAGTAGTTAAAATGAAAATGAGCCAACTGTTCTTGAACTATTCTAAGATTTGGCACAGGGCTCTAACTTTGCCAGTGCAAGTCCCCTCCCCTCTCCTGGAAGCTTCATGATTACTTGTGCCTGAGCAACACTGAGTTATACTGCCACTCAAGTCCACAACAGTGAGTGCAGATGGCTGAGCCCTCACTAAATAAGGTACATGCGGTGCATAACACCTAGAATCCAATCCCCAGAAAGGAAATGTAATATGATGCAATCAAGACCCTATGGCAATTCAACACCTCTCTATTTCCACTAGCAGGTGGCTGCCAAAGCCAAAAGATGCAAAGTTGCAATTATTCAATATTGAGAAACCCACCAAGGACCAATGTTCACATACTCCTACTGCTACTTTATGGAATTGATGATTTCTGGATATTTAAATTCCTAAGGGCATGTTTATTATTTTATGTTTTGCCGGGAACCAATTCCAGCATGTCATAATTTCAAGAGTTTCATCAAAAGGTTGATGAGACTTGGGGACTCAACAGGGTTGAGTCATACATGTCGTCACCTCTTGGGAATGGCTAAAGGCATTTCCCCAAACCTGAATAGGAAACTGATTGTGGCTGCCAGACAGCTAAAGGACATCTTAATCTACATGTTATTGCCTCCTACTGGCCAAACACCTGAACAGCCGTAGGCTAATTCCCCCATTCTGACAATGCTTCTGTACCCTTTGAAGCCTTACCCTTTGAAGTGTATTTCCCCCACCTTGACTTAGGACAAATTGTGTTAACAAAAGCAAGGGTCCTAGACAAGGAGGGAGTCTTCAGTTCCTTTAGCTGAAGGTCCTCTGACCCCCAATGCCTTTCAAAATTATATCTCGTCTCCAGACTCTTTATTAGTCTCTGGATTCCTATGTCATCTACGCACAGCCTTCTCCAGATTCCTGAACCCTTCTTGATGCTGGGACAAGAACCCCGGCAATGTTTATATCCCCCTAACAGAAATAACCTCACACATAAGTTCTCAATAAAGATTTTCAGAATTGAAAAAAAAAAGAAGAAGAAGAAGAGAGGCTATTTTTCCCAGCCAATGTCTTCTCTTCCTTAATACTGAGTTTTAAGCATTGAATCTTACACAGAAGAAACTCTCCAGCCAAGAGTAGAAGCAAATATGCTGGTACAGCCTTGAATAAAACACACTATCAACTGATCCTTCTCACTGCATTCTGTTAATGACATTTAAGGGAACGCCTGGAAGATTGTGGGATTGGTGGAAGTCACATGGGGCGTGATGGACACAGGCTAGAATTCAGTTCTCTTAACTGCCAATTAAGTAGTCTTTTCCTATCCCCAAGTCAACATGTTCTATCCTGTAAGTTGACAGGACTTTCCCATCAATACAACTCAAGATGCACTTCTCCAGAAAATTCCATGGCAGAACTTGTCAGATTCAAAAAGCAGCCATGTTTGCTAGAAGTGTCGCCGTAACATCTTAATTTTATATAGTTCTCAAACCATAGTAGTTTGTCAAATGGCAATATAAGACAGTGTAAATTATCTGTGCCAATAATTCATTTTTCTCTTAATAATTAAAATAAAATTCAGATTGAGAAAGTTACAACTGACCACAGAATAAGACAGCAAATATTGATTTTCCCCCCTATGCTGGATGATTAGCAAAAGTATTTTAGAACTATCACTTGTCCAACTCTGCATTTGGTAAATGACATAACCACAACCCAAAGAAGTTAGGTGATTCATTCAAAGTCATAGGGCAGTTTATTGGGGAAGCCAGTCCATCTTAGTTCAAAAAATGTGATTTGGCAATACTTGTTCATCTAACCAATATTTTTAAGCACTTACTGTATAGTAGGAGCTGAGTTGGAGATATAAGAATAACTAGGGCCCTTGGCTCAGTGGATAGAGTGTCAGCCTGCGGACTGAAGGGTCCCAGTTTCGACTCCAGCCAAGGGCACATGCCTGGGCTGCGGGCTCGATCCCCAGTAGGGGGTGTGCAGGAGGCAGTCGATCAATGATTCTCTCTCATCATTGATGTTTCTATCTCTCTCTCCTTCTCCCTTCCTCTCTGAAATCAATAAAGAAATATTTAAGAAAAAAAAAAGAATAACTAGGACCCATCCTAAGCCCTCAGTTAAGTGAGGGAGATGGAAACCAGGCCTTTATCAATACCTAGAGGCCTGATGCACAAAATTTATACACTGGGGGCGGGAGGGGGGGGTAGGGGGTCCCTGCCTGCTCCCTCTGGCTGTCGGGGACCCCTCAGGGGATATCTGCCTGCCAGCTTTGGAAGAATAGCCCCCTTGCGCCCTGCACTCCTCCTCCCTCTTCTAAAGTTTCTTAAACTTTGCCCAATATATCAACCAGTCTTCCAAAGAGTGAACCCTGCAGGCTCTTAATAATAATGGCTTTTGTAATTCAAAAGATTTGGTTTTGTAAAACTGACTCATTCCAACTGCCCCCTGGTGAGCTATCTGGGAAAGATAGCACGATTTTCTACGCTGCTGGGATATGATTCTGAATAAGAAACTGCCACCACCAAATGAAAACGTAATTTTTCTAAGTCTCGAGTTGCGGTTTGGGTGGCCTGGATCGATTCTCCCATCTGGTTTTTATTATCATAATTAAGCCCTATAAGTGTTATTTTTTAAAGTGTGCACATACACCCGCACATATGTAATACAGACATGTTTCTACAGGTTTGCCCTGTTTGAAGGAAGGCTGCACAGGCCTCAGACGTGCTTTCCGCGGGGAAAGAGCGCATTGGACATACTTCCCGGGAGGGTGCGGGCAGGCAGTACCTTTCTCCACGGGAAAGTCCTCACCGCTCTGCATGGACTTCCAAGGCTATGCCACTTTGTCCCGGGAAACTAGCGAGGAAAAGGCAACTGCCCAAGGCAGGGCTTTGTCCTCCCCGGGGCCAGCCCCCTTCCCCGGC